AACATGATCTACTCGACCACCATTATGGTTACCGCCAAAAATAAAAAACGGAGGTGGAAAAAAAAAGCGGTAACCTGGTTGCCGAGTTCACGAAGTGAATTGGCTTGTTTTACAACGTCTTTGCCAAGCGACGAAAACCCAACCCCGATGGCAAAACACCGGGGGAGGGGGCTACATAGGAGGGGGGGGTTCGACCCCCTCCTCCTGCGGTTCCTGCCTGAGACACTTTTATCGCGAGAAGGGTGCAGCAATCCCTTCCCTTTCGACGTATGAAGTCGATGAAGTTTACTCACAAGGACAATTAAGACGATTTATGCATATGCCTGCAGCAAAAGGATCTTGGAGGGGTGCAAAACACAACGCCAGATCATCAGCAGTCATGCTTTACAACGGCAATGATCACGATCATAACGGTCGTGGTGCCATACATGTATTGTGGGTTAAACTAAACAAATACAGGCGGGGGATACATGGTGCGAATGCACAAACGCGTCGCACCTAGTACATAGACTTGGGGTTCATATTGTACAGCATAAGATACCACGGGTGTGGTATCTTACGCGACCTGCAGAAACTATCAGTTCCCTTCGTACAAGCTTTGCGCAACGCGTCAACAAAAGCACGCGTCCGCGAAGCGATGTGAGAGACACCTATGTGCGCAAGCGTGCAAGCATGCGAGCGTGACGTATGCTACACGCACCAACAGAGACTGACTGGTGTTTTGCTGCCATGCGGGTCTTCCTCTCGTTGCCGTTGGACAAATCTGAAGTACTTCCACACGTAGGCTACTACTGCTGGATTCCGTGCGTCCGGGTGTGAGTGCGCCGGTGAATGTCTAACGAGGCAGCGTCCACCTGAGATTGCGATGCCGAGGAAAGGTTGCGCCCCATCACTCTCGAGTGTGTGCCTTGACCTTCTGTTCTGTTGATGTCCACTTTACCATCTAGCGGCCCCCTGGGTCAACGCAGTCTTGCTTGTTGGGGTGGACCTCCACATACATGTTTTCCCGCCAATCCGAACCGCATCAAAATATCGATTCCCGTCAGCAGGAAGGCAAGCTGTGGCGTCCAGTGCGAAGTATCGACACTGCACGGCACTTTCAGTGCGTGGTGCGAGGTGGTGGCGCGTGTGGTCGTGTCCCTCGTGTGTTTCGTGTCCATCTCCCTTCTCCCCGTCTACGAGGACTCGCGGAACCAAATTGTTGACGTACTGCCACAACCTGGATTAACGACCAGATCCGGGGAGGAGGGGGGGGCTGTTCTCTACCGTGTACGGTGTTTCGACTATTTATTAATAGGAATTATTAGACTAACCTTCAGTCTACGTCGTCTTTTGTATAGGATTTAGTATCGGTATGCAAATGTAAGTACAATAGGCATTATGACCATATAGTGACGTAGTGCCACACGACCACGGGAATCGACCGCGTCGAGTGTTGGATCAGTACGGACATACTACACGAATGTACTGGGTAGAGGGAGATCGGAACGGTTTGTAACCCTTATGTGACTACACCCACGAATGAGCTCCGTTCCCAGCTCCGATGACACAACAACAACAACACAGCAGTCCGCCGGTCGGCATAGTGCCGATCAAATCTCAGGACTGGCGACCGGCGTTCCTCAAGCGCCAGAGCAGCAGGGGTGTGGGCAGGAAAGAGGCTTTGCGCAAGCTTGCAAAGCATAGATCGCAGCTGGAGAAGGCAGCCTTGGCGTCCGCTGCATGCAAGGCGGGCTGGGAGAGGAGTCGAGTATTTCCGCGCCATCGCAAAGGAGTGCAGTGGTGCTGTTGCAGCGACGTCTGCGGGGCCCGAGGTAAGTGTAGATCCGAGTGGTGTATCCTGTGTTTGGACGCACACAGCAGTAGTCTTATGGTTCTGCAGTACGTATGGTACATCCAGCAGTAGTCCTGCAGTACGTGCGACATCGCTGTTGTCGCTGTTGTTGTTGTATCACTGCCGTGAATCCACATTAGTCTACTGCTGCTGCTGCTGCATGTGTGCCAAAATCTGAAACATGCGCATGCATGCGCGCATGATGCATGCGCCCATCACGCAACTGCTGTTGCTGCCATGTGTGTACTGCTGTCCTCGGTGCTCTTGCTAAAGTGATGGCGCGTCTTCGCTTATGTGTATGCCAAACATGCTGGAGTTGTGTTGTCCGCTGCTGTACTGACATTCCACGCATTGACTTTCCTTCCCTGGATCTGAGTTGTTGTGTGTGACCGAGCTGAAACAAACACCAACCAAACTCCACGACGTTTACCCTTGCCGTTCCAGGAAAGCATGGATGTTTCGCACGCGCAAGCTGGGAAGCTACTCACCCAAGCCCACGCCCTGAGAGCGGTGTACAGCAAGCTACTCAAGGGGGTGTCGAAGCGACAAGCCTTCGAGGAGTCGGCCGAGTTTGTCGAGTTGGCAGTCGGCACCATCAAGCAGTGGGAGCTTGACTACCGTACGAAAGGCCATATGTATGTATCAAGGTGAGCGCAACAGTTTCCCTTCTAAATAGGACTCTCAGACGTGTCATTCAGCATAGGCAACGCACACAAAATTCGGTGATCGGTACACAGCGTAGACAATATTCGGAAATATGAATATCGCATGAAGGTTTGGCAGCGGCACATTCCAAACATTCCAAACACGAGCCGTTTTATTTCAACCTCGGCTCTCTCCTCGCGCATTTTTCTTCGTGCTACCTCCCTTCCCGTCCTCCTCCTCTCGTGACATTTTTTTTGTAGTTGGATCAGACGGGGAGACACGAGCGACGCTGGATCCTGAGCCTGGACGAGGGCCTTCTCGTGAGGATCCGCTTCTGGATCCGCAACAACGCCGTCAAGAACGGGGAGCCGAACATTACAACTCAGACGTTCTGCGACTACCTCATCAAGGATGTCTTGCCAGAGGTTGGGGCGACCAAGACCGACGAGGACGACCTTCAAGCACGCACCCATCACCAAGATCAAGAACGACAAGGGTGAGGTCGTGTCGTACGCGATCGCCGAGCGCACAGCACGATCCTGGCTTCACAAGCTGGGATGCGAGTACCGCGACACGAAGTCGGGTCTGTACTTCGACGGGCATGACCGCGAGGACGACGTACTAGAGTTCCGGGTGGAGACGTATCTACCCGCCTACTTCGAGCACCGCGACTACACGGAGATCTGGATCGACGCCAGCTTGGAGAAGGCGCGATCCTGGGAGGTGGAGACGCAGCCAAGGGACAGGAAGGAGGACGGGCGTGTTTGGGTTTGCGTGCATGCATTCAAGGAGACGCTCTCCGAGCTACCCCCGCACCTACGAGCGAGGGTCACCAGCAAGAAAGAGTACGCCGATGGCAGAAAGGCGATTTTTTGCTACCAGGACGAGTGCATCTACAGGGCCAAACGACGGGGAGCGTAACGCGTGGTGGCCGCCGAACATGCACGGGCTAAAGAAGAAGGGAGAAAGACAGGGCATGATGATATCCGGCACCATCGTGGGCGACGTCGGATTCGTCGAGGGGACTCAAGCGGACATCAACAAGGCCCAAGAGCTGCGGCGTGAGCGCTGCCGCATTTCGAGGGAGAAGAAGCACGCAGCCGGTGATCCGACCAGGCCGGAAAAGTACCGCGACATCGAAATTCTCTACTTCGAGGGAGAGGGCGACGACCGCAAGTTTTCGACGTACCAGAAGTTCGAGTATGGCAAGAACAAGGCGGGGTAATGGACGGGGACGAAGATGATCGAGCACATGGCGGATGTGGCGGACGTGTTGGATCTCTTGGCCGAGAAGTTCCCGCGGCACAGGCCAATCTGTTTTTTCGACTGGTAATCGTGCCATGATTGCGTTGAGGAAGGGGCACCGAGTTTAGCTAGGATGAACGCAGGGTACGGGGGGGCGAGGAAGGGGCAGGAGATGGCTCCTCAGGATGCGACCACCATACTCGAAGACACGCCCAAACTCAAGAAAGGTGCGGCACAGTTCCTCACGTTTCAGGCCGGGGAGTACCCATTCCATGAGCCGGGCGCCACAGATCAGGTAGGGAAGATCAAGGGGCTCAAGCAAGTCTTGTTTGAGCGGGGGCTTTGGATCCCAGGTATGAGCATGACAGGGGCCAAGAAGGGCCAGAAGGCTATCCTCAAGACGAGCATGCCGGCGGTGTTGCGCGGGCAAAAGGATTTCGCGAAGGTCGACTCTAGCCTAGAGGTTCTGTTGAAGCGCCATGGAGGGGTTGCGCTCATGCTTCCCAAGTTCCACTTCGAGTTGAACCAGATCGAGCTTGTGTGGCGTAGGTCAAAATGGTGGGCCCGCAGGAACTGCAAGTGCACTATCGCGTGCTTGCGAGAGAACGTTTCCAAGAGCTTCACGGCAGACGAGAACTTGAGCCTTGCAATAGTTTAGAGGTTCTGCAGGAAGGTGGCCAACTTCCACACGGTGTACAACGCAGGGCTCGAGGGCGCCGAGGCAGTACAGGAGCACAAGAAATTCATGTCGCACCGCAAGCCGGCCCCGTCCGAGTACATTAAACCCAAGTGAATGTATACTAAGCGCCGGTTGTAAACTATGGGGTGCTAGAGGGTGGCATCGGTTTGTGCTCTTGTCGGTGTGGTGTTTCCCCAGCGGGGATTTTTCTTTTTTTGCTTCCCTGATCGGCTGTGTTGTCCGAACGATATCTTCAGTGCTGTAAAGTCATACTATTAATATGTACAAATGTGAACAATAGAGTGGGTGTGGGTGCAGTAGTGTGTAAATACAGGGAGTTGCCGACGGTTGAAGCTTCATGAACGAAACATTAAGTGGTAAACGCTGTGTTTTGCGACCAGAAATGGGTGCACAATCTTGGGTGCCCCCCGGGATACGTATCATACATACTTATCAAGTGTTTTTTTTTTTTAAGGCGCCATTGTGTTTGTCTGCTCAAACCCCGCGTTATCTACAAAGAAAGGGAAAAAAACGGATAGGAATACCGTACGTAGTGGTTGTCGGAATACTGGCGAAAAATTTTCATCCCCTCCCCCCCAAAAAAGCCTGGAAAATCCTATACGAAAACTGTGATTTTTCAGGAACGTCTTAAATCAATATGGTCCCTGAACAACTCTTGTGGGGTTTGCTGTGTAGATCACTACTAACAAAAAAAAAAGAACAAAAGTAAGTAATGACGAAGTCATGGCCGGTCAACTGAAATCGGCGTCACAAAATCTGGCACTGTACCACACAGCCGTGCTCTGAGCCACTCACAGAGAAATTAGCAGAGATTGTTTTTCTTCAACACCGCCGGGTACCGCCCCCAAAGAACTAAAATACCTACAGCAGTCGCACGCCTCCTCCAGAATGTACTCCTCCGGAGATGTGTCATGGACAGCTCGGGAGCTCAGCTATGCAGGAGGGATGAGTTCAAAGCAGGAAGACCGATGGTACGCGTGAAACAGGTGGGTGTTGTAATCGTTTAGGCGCCCAAGCTTGAAGGAAGCCAACTTGCGGGAAAAGACATACCGAATGTAACGGCGACGAAGGGTCTTTCTCTCAGTTGTTTGTTTTGAGGGGGGGGGGGGGGAGAGTGACGGAGACTTCAGTAAACGGGGATTGACCCTAGATCTCCAACCACAATCACGCCCACATGGTGTCATTCTTCGGTCCCTTCCCTACACCCAGGTGTCTTCGTTGTCATCAACCGACCTTCCGGGCTACCTTCTTAAGTGAGGTGGAAGTAGCTTGTTTTGGAACTCCACAACAAACACAAAGGCACTCCACAACAAACACAAAGGCCCTAGAGGGGCTTTGCGTGGACGGTCGGAGAGCCGACGCGCCATAAGCTCATTAAAAAACATTAGCAATCTGCCCAAACATCAAACACTGCTTGTACCGTGCCGTACGTTCTCATGTGGACGAAATAGAAGAACCCCGCGTGACACCGTGTTCCACGCCATGCATCACGTCGAGGGAGAACACAATTCCGCGTCCTCGTTGAAAGCTCGTCTCACTCTTTCGGCTTCCGTGACCCACCACCTCGAACAAATGGCCAAAGGGGAGACGCTTTTTGCCTAATAGGTCAGGAAACGAAAACGCTCTCCAAGCATGGCAGGCTCGGTGCTGTGTGCAACGACACACAACCAGCCCACACACTCCCTTCTCCGCCCAGAAAAAACGCTCAACGCAAGGCAAAATCGCCCTTTTCTCGAAAGGAGAAGCAGCTCACAAACGTTTCGCGGCCTCCCACAGACCGCAAAAGTGCGAGCTGGCACATGTTGTCAGCAGAGCGAAAAACACACACACACCAGCGTTCGTCGACGTCCATCCGCAATGTTACCGGGAGGGCGTTTGTTATCGAACGATGTGGTCATGTACCTTGAACTCGGCTAAAACATGCGCATGTATTTTCTAGACTCTGGGAACGTGACGGCCTTGGTCCTGCTGCCTGCGTTTCAACCCGCCCGCCAGACAGACGTGTAGATCGTGCCAACTAATCCACGATTGTTGCAACGCAAACAACGTGGAGAACAAACGAGACAGCTTGGATGTGATCGACAGACAATAATTTACACCTTTGCGGCAACCGCATGTCAATCGCACGCCAAACAAAAGTAATCCCTCCTGTCTCTGTCCTCTTTCCAACGGGGTCACCCTTGGGCACACACACCCTGCGGGACGCCGTCCCTATTATGTCGATGATTGTGTCAGTATCCTGGTCACAAAAGGATTGTCAGGCATGCGACACGAATTGTCCACACGGAGCAAACCCTCCTCCCGCGAAGAATGAACCCCTCGTAGATACCCCCCCCCCCCCCCCCCCCCCCCCCCCCCCCCCCCCCCCCCCC